TTTTGCTATGGTCTGCGAAAAAGAAATCCCATTACAAACCCTTCTTCCATTGATGAGATTGATGGACATAAATTCGAAAAAAAAAGAGAGAGAAACGAGGAACAAGCAGTACGTGGGATTAGTTACGCGTCAAAATGATCCTTTACGAACATTATTGCAATATCGTTGAACGTTATTTATCTATTTATTTTTTAATGTGTAAAATGAGTAAATTACAGAGTTAACGAATGATAAACAAGTGATATGCTAATACGTGAAACGCGTAAGTTTCAAACAAATTAATTCTTATATTGTGACATAAAAACAACGAAATTGTCGAACCTGCATGAGCATGCTTCACTTCTATCTTTGGCCCTTTTCCTTTTGTTAATACAAATCAAATCGATATGATGAAAAAAAAAATAATCATCGAAACCGATCTCTTTTTTTTTTTTTTTTTTTAAAAAAAAAAAGGGTGTTTTTTTTGAGCGATCTAGATTAGAAGCGGACCTACGCATCAAGATGTCCAAGATGTCCTCGGCCGGCACAAAGAGACTTTTGCCCGCTCGAGCTACCATCATAATTTGGCCGGCATTAACGGAATTAGATGGTAGCACCCCACCCCGAGAGTTTCTATTAATAGAAAGTACCAAGGTAACAAATGATGAGCGCGCGAGATATTAAGTTTGGAGACAATGAAGAACGTAATATGATATAATGAGCTTTGTTTTTAGGTTAAAGTCAATGCGCTATTTGTTCATCTCACGTAAATTAAAATTTTGTAATACAAATTGTCGCTTGAATTACGACAGTGCAACGTCATATTTGTTGTGTATTAAATTATTTTTCCTAGATTACGCAATTTAACTGCACGTTGCTGATTTTGTAAACACGATGTGAACTAGTATAAATTTGAAGATTTTGTGACATGCGATCAAACGTTATATACTTGTATCAGATAAATCTCAATAATTATAATCAATCGATGATTTTAGTGAAGTAACCCCAAAACAGCACAGTGCAAAAGATCTAAGGTTAAAGTCCGCTTTGTTTTTTGTCGGTGCTAATGTCATCTTGATTAATCTCGAGACAATGGAACGCTAGACGACTCACGTGAAACAAATTTTTTTTTTTTTTTTTTTTTTTGCAATCTTTCAATAATGAAATCAAAGATAATCAAAGAAACCAAATCAAAATTTGCTTGCAATCCTTTTGGGTCATATCTGAGGCAATTTTTTTCCCATTACCTTGCTGGTGTAAGCATTATAATTTAAAAATATTTTTAATTAACTAATTAATATCTATGATTTCATCGACTACTAATTTGGCGTAAAACCAGATTTTGTTATCTTTTCAAAGATTAACCAAAATTACATTACCAGTTATATCCTGTTTATATTATTACTTTTAAAGGACAATACTAAGAACAAAAAAGATAAGTTTGCTGCGCCGGGACTAGTTCCCCAGGCACGCGAGTGGGCACCGAGTTATGCACTTTGATGGTAAAGTTGGTTTATATAAACAAAATTGCATTGTTTGTAAAATTTTCACTTGCATATCAAAATTTCAAAAATATCGAAATTTACTTGCAAATCGGAAAATAGCATATAAATGGTTGTGCATCAATTACCACTTTTTCGATCTTAGGAAATTCTGAATAAAACCTGATTTTGATTATCGTGTGGACTCCCAAAGTACGACAAACTTGTTGATCTATAGAAAGTTCATGAAAATTCCACATGATTGTTGGAAAATTACCACTTCCAAATGTTTGGTGCCAATTTCTTAAATTGTTCTAGTACCTTGCAAATTTATTAATTATTATTATCATTAAAAATTCATTTTTACTGTAAGTTATATATGTGTATATATATGGAGGGAAAGGAGGGAAAAAGGTCGTTTCGCTTAAAATTCATTTCACTTAATAACCTTTCATAATTTTACTCAACTCGATAAACTGTGTGTTTTCCCCATGTTTCACGTTTGTGAAAAAAAAAAATAATTATAAGCTTTAATTTTACCGTAATTGTGAAATGTTTGGGAAAATTTATTTAGGACTAAAAGAAACTGATATTTCATCGTAAAAAACATAGGAATTCTTGATCATGACAACCCGCTTTCTGCGTGTTACTTCATTGTGGATGATATTCATGTTTACACAGGAGATGAGGGTGCAAGCCCGAAACAAAAAGGAAAAACACAAAAAATTACTTCTACAGACTAATGTAGTGCTTAATGACATCATGATCTCCTTTAAATATAATCGTATAATTGGTATCCTTTTTTATCTAGGTACTGACCTGTGATATCGTCACACCCATCAGTTTTTTATTGTAATTTTTTATATGAAATTATATTATTATTTATGTTAAATGTTTTTTTTTTTTTTTTTTTATTTTATAAAGTGCGGTAGTTCCACATGATCTT